TGTACAACTCCATGACACACTTTTAAGAACCGTTCATATTTAGGTTGAATTACTGTGGAATAAAAAAGCTGTGTGGTGCAGTGGTTAAGTGCTGAGCTACTAATTGAAAAGTTGCTTATCCAAAACTGCCAGCCACTCTTCAAGAGAAAAACACAGCAGTTTCTGTTCAGACAAAATGATAGCCTTGGAAGCCTCCTAAGTCTACTCTGTTCTATTGGGTTACCATGAGTCAAATCAATTCAATGGCAATAGAATTGATTTTATGGTTTGATAAGAAATTGCAGCCCTATGTGGGATGGAAGTGCTTATTTGCGGTATTTGGGGGTTGTAGCTTGGAACCCTGATGGCTTAGAGGTAAGGAGTTGTCTTAACAATGCAAATCTTCTGGCTGTTCTGGGGGAGGGGGAGGGGCATTCTCCTCCCATGTAATTTACTGCCTGTGAAAACCAGCTTCAGGGTCAGATGTGGGTCAGTTCTAACTTAATGGTACGCAGCAGCAACAACAAATTTGTTGTCAAAGGTTTTTAGTACATAAGTAATTGCTTAACAGAAAGAACCTTAAAATTAGGCACAAAATACTTGATATCCCTGTTCTGCCATCAGCCACTCACCTAACACTGGAGATTTTGCTTGACTTTTAATGTCTGTTTCTTAAATTGTAAAATGAAATGAACAGAATAACTAATGATTTGCAACCCATTCTAAGAGTCTACACTAGCATTCCAGATCTAGCAGGTGGGTTTTAACTTGCATGCAAATTCTATTTAATGATGAATGACTGCCTGGTGTGTTATTTAGAAAAAGATTTATAGACCATCTGAACAGGATATTTGACATCTTATTTAGGGGAGCTCTGGTGAACTAGTGGATAATGGATTGCACTACCAACTCAAAATTGGGTCGTTCAAATCCACTAGTTTCTCCTTCATTACAATTTACAGCCTCAGAAAACCCACTGGAGGGTGAGAGAGAAAAAGATTCAGATCTTTGTAAATGATAACAATTCACAATAGGTATATTTCCAGTTGCTTTTTCACTTGTCACTCTGTTGAAACTGCTGGAACAATCATCTGGCAAGAAATTAGGAGAACAAAGGTCAACGATTTCAGTCTGGAGACTAAGGTGCGCCTGATAGAGGACATGGTCTTTGCCATTGCTTGCCATGCAACAGAGAGCTGGATAATGACCAGGGATGATAGAAGGAGAGTTGATGCCTTTGAGCTTTGGTGCTGGACCATGGACTGCTAGGAGAACAAATAAGTTCGTCTTGGAGAGGGTGAAGCTAGGCTGGTTCTTGGAGACAAGGATCCTGAAGCTCCATCTGACATATTTTAGACATGTTGCAAGGCAGGATCAATCCTTGGAGAGAGATATCATGCTTGGGAGGGTGGAGGGACAGCGCAGGAGAGGAAGACCCTCTATGAGAGGAGAGAGAGACACGGGGGGAGAGAGAGAGAAGGAGGCATTTAAGCACGTGGATTCAAATTGAAAGCTTGGAAATTCAAACATGCCAGATGCTCTTTCGGAGAAAGAAAGCAGTCTGTTTCTATAAAGATTATAACCTTGTAAAACATTGGGAGCAGTTTCACTCTGCCATAGGAAATCACTGAATGGGAACTGATTCTATCGCAATGGACTTGGTTTTTATTTTTAATTATGTAAAAGTATACTTTTAACATGTAATTTTTGACGGTGTTCTCTGCGCATGCTTTTTCCACTATCCACTAGGGACGGGGTGGACCTCTAAAAGAGCTCAGTTCTGTCCCTTTGCTCTTGGAAGAGCTTTTGAGCTGGAAGTTCCCTTCAGTTAACTGGAATCTTGCTAATGCTGTAGGCGCAGCGTGGAAGAAGCGTGGTGGCTGCTTCCACGAGCAATTTAGCTTGTAATGTCCTCTAGTAAATGAGAACTGGCTGCACTGCCGGGAAGTCTGTGCTTCATTCCTGGTCCCTCCACTGATTGGATTGATTTTATTAAATGCTGGCACTATTGCTGTGTCTTTCGTAGGTCGTGAAAAATATTACAGTACCTCACATGGAGTTAATGATGTTAGGAGTCTCAAAATATTTCAGCAAATTTCTCCTCTCTCTCGTAGACCAAACAGTTAGTTCTGTGCTAACAATAGCCTGAACACAGCCATGCCTGTGGGAATGGGCAGGATTGAGCAGTGCTCCCTTTTTCCGTGCTTGAGCTCTGCTGGTTTAGGGCAAGGAGTTGCACAGTGAGCGCAAAAGGACTCGGGCTTAGACCACAAGCTGCTCCTCAGGAGAAAGATGGCCAGTCTCCTCCTCTGCAATTTACTGCCTCTGAAAAGTCAGCTATGGGTCAACTCCAACTTGACGGTACACAAGAGTCACAGAGTCACAGCCAGCTTGGTGGCCCCTAACATCACCACCAAATAGTAGCAAATATTACATTTGCTTGACTTTGCTTAACCAGTTAAAAAAACAAATTTTAAAGCTCACCAAGACTTAGAATACTGTTTGTCCAGGGCTTTATGAGAAGACATTATTAATCTTTTGTGTGTGTGTGTGTGTGTTAAGGGCTCTTTTTATTTCTTTCTTTTAAGGATGATCTATACAGCTTAATTGTCAGAAAGACATCATTAATCTTTATCCAGCAGATAACGGACATTTTTTCCTCTCTTATTTATTTATCATACTAGTTTATTTACAAAATTAGAATACATTGTTTTCCAGAACAGATTCTTTAATTTCCCTTACAC